CAAACTAGCTAATGAAAAATTGCCAAAAAAAAAAATCTGCCTCTTACAGTTCTTGTTTCTAAATGAATGATTGTAGAACCATCAGGAAGCACAATCACGTTTAAATAGTAAAAAGACTCTTAGTTAAGGGTCCTGAGAGCATACAGGATTTGAAACATGGCTGCAGGGGTATCACTGTTCACGATCTACTGTGATCATTTCATTCTTTCTTCATCACCCTTGGAGTCTCGATTGTGTGATCATGTGCTGTGTCTGTGCAATGCCCTACTTTGTGGCACGTCTCCTTAGAAAACAGAATCTCTTTAGAAGATGCTCTAATCCTTGACTTGTAGCATTTCCTAACTAACCCACCTACTGCTGTCCAGTTGATTCCAACTCAGAGAGACACTCCTTTTGGTCTCCATCTTTATGGGAGGAGACTGTCCATGTCCCTTGTACAGGTGACCAGTGGATTCAAACTGCTGACCTTTCAGTTATCAGTCCAACATGTTAAACATATGCTACTAAGGTTCCTTTTCCAAAGGAAGCATCTGTAATGACCTCACACACCATGGTCTTTAGTCTCTTGTTATTTTTGCTGTGTGTCACTGAGTCGATTTCAGCTCGTAATGTGACTCTGTGACCCACTAGTGGAAAAGCCCCAGCAGGTTTTCTAGGCTGGGATCATAATGGATTGGAAGCAGGAGTGGCATCCACTCCCTAAACAACACGCCTCCTGAAACTCTATGAACTTTGAGAAATGACGCTAGTTGTAGAAAAGCTTCAGGTCTTTTGTCCATAGGGTCGCTATGAGTCGTGCTCGACCCGACGGCAATCAATAACAAAAACACAATCATAATGGAAGCGTATCACCAAACCTTTCTACCAAAGAGGGGTTTCAAACTTCTGACCTTTCTGATAACAGTCAGGCACTCCATCACTTACCATCAGACTAACTTTAAACTTCTGGAAATCGAGATTGAATCAGATAGAATCTAAACATTTTAAATCTGTAATACAGTTGAGCGTTGTTCAGGGGTGTCGTCTGACATACTTTGGACATGTTGTAAGGAGAGACAGGTCTTTAGAGAGGGACATCATGCTGGGCAGAATAGAGGGACAGCGCAGGAGGGGAAGACCCTCTATGAGGTGGATTGATTCAGTGACTGGCGTAATCGGTATAGGTGTGTTAGAGGCATTGAGATTGGCACAGGATAGAGCACGGTTTAGGGCTGTTATACATAGGGTCGCTATGAGTCGCAAACGACTCGACGGCACATAACAACAACAACAGCAACAACAGTTGAGTGCTATTGAGTGCTACCACTTAATTTTCTAAATTTGGAGAGGCTCCAATTTTTCCTGCTTTCCTAAAGGGTACAAATCTACCACCCAGACCTGAGATGACTGCTGCGCTGTGCTGCTGTCCAGGTGCCCCTGGGCCATGGCCCAGGCGTCTCTGCTTCCTTTGGGTAAAAGGAATCACGCTACCAACCCAGAGGTGTAGCTTACGGCATACAACAGCCGCTCCACTTTCTTGTGCTCTTGTAGTGGAAATACCACAAGCTAACACTTTCGAAGATGAAGAAGTTATTTTCTTATAATCTGGGGCTAGATGTTCACATTCAGAGCACCAGCAATAGGGGAAGGCTCACTTTCTTGCAGCTCTACAGAAACACCTTGGTATCTTTTTCACTTCTGTTCCTTGATCATTTGGTGATCGCCCTGTGGCATCTGCCTTCCTCAATTTGCCTACTAATCTCTTCTTATGACTCAGAGGTGATTAGATTTGGGGACACATCTTATAATGATATGGCCTCATTAACCTACCATCGAAACTCTGTTCTCAAACAGGATTATGAACAACAGTATAGAAGTGGGAATTCCAATTTATAGAAAAAACACATTCAATCAATAACAATAACAATATTATGTGTTCTTTGAGGAAAGTAATTTAATGATAAGATCCTTGAAAAGCACAGCCATCCACTTGAAGGGACAGCAGAGGAGAGTCAGGAATAGGAATAATACATGGAATAAGTGACTTAATCGCCTCCATGGCAATTATCTGCTTCTTTAGCTATGTGGGCAGAATAATTTGACAGGGCTCAACTGCCATAATGGAACATTTTCATTAAAAATTTTGCAGAAGATTATTGAACAAAAGAGGGGAATGTAGGACAGAATTTCAACTTCTCATAGCCTTTAGATTTTCTGGAGCCACGGAAGCGGAATAACCCCCCTAAGTTGTTGCTGTGAGATAGTCTTAAACATTAAATAAGATGAGAAATATCCCTTGTAGTCTTCTTAAAATGATAGTTTAACTTATCTGGTAAAATATATCTATTTTATACACACACACACACACACAAACGTGTGTGTGTGTATATATATATATATATATATATATGTATATGATCATTTATATGTATTAGATAGTATTTAGTATATATAAATAAAATTTCGATATTTACATGATAATATAATTGTAATTATCTGGTGGCCTAGTGGACTCTAAACTTTGATAAATGGCGATGGTTGTGGAAGGGCTTCAGACCTTTTGTTCACAGGCTTGCTATGAGTCGCGCTCGACTCGGCGGCAAACAACGACGACAGTTACAATGGTAAGAAGCTGTACTACAATCCCAGAGGCACATGGTTTGAATCTACCTGAAAAAAAGATGACCACTTTTGTGTCATTTACTGCCTCTGAAAACCAATAGGGAGTCAGCTCTGGGTATGCTCCAAATCACTGGCAACAAGAGAGATGCAAATAAAAACCACTGTGAGATACCATTTCACTCCAGTAGCAGTGGCAAAGTTTAACAGGACAGAAAGTAATAAATGTTGTAGAAGATGTGGTGAGATAGGAACTCTTATACATTGTTGTTGGGATAGTAAAACGGCATAGCCACTCTGGAAGGAAGTTTAGTGTTTCCTCAAAAAGCTGAACATAGAAATTCCATACGCTCTGAATTTCGTATATTCCAGTCCTCAGAATATACACTGATAAAATGAGAACGGAGACACAAAAGGAGACCAGTACACTGGTTTTCATCCCAAGAACATGGAAATAGCCCAGATGCCCAAACACAATCAGATGGATAGAGAAATTATGGTCCATTCACACAATGGAATAAATGGAACACTGCCCAGTATGCAGGAGCAATGATTTTGTAAATCACTACCTAACTTTGGAGGAACTAGAGAACATTATGCTGTGTGAACTAACTCAGTCCCATAAGGACAAATACTGTATAAAACCCTTATTGTAGAATGAGTATGAGGATCCAAGCAGGGAGAAGGGTGGAAGCAGAAGGGTGAGGATGGGCAGGTGGTGGGTATTATTCATAGCATCTCTCAATTTGATGGGAGAGGGTAAAGGAAATAGGAATTAACTAGTGTAAAAACAATGTATTCGAACTTTGTAAATAAACCAGTATAAAATAAAATAAAAAAATAAGAAAAGATATTTTGATGTAGGAACATAGTGACCACAGCAACTAAAAAAAAGGTTGAAACGTTCGATTATCCAAAGGAAAGTATGTAATAAAAGTCACTGAAATATAGATGCAGAAACTGCTGCATTAGCCTATGCTTTGCTGTGTATATTCTCAACAATAGCAGCAACAAACTAAATAGATTATTTAAAAAAAATAGAGTTCTAAGGGAGCTGGAAAGGAGCAAGAAATATGAGTACCAGCCATTGCTTCGCAGCTAAAGAATGGTCTAAACATGGAAGGAAAGATTCTCATGTTTGCCCTCATCCCATGTAACACACTTCTTCATTTACAACACTGCTTGGCAAGGAGAAGACATGAGAATGCAGCTTCTCAAAGTGCACGTCCTTATTCTGATTTGTCGTTGGTCACTACCAGTGGATCAGCTGTGGTGGTTGCTATGTGTGATCTCTGTGGCTGGGAAGGAGCCCCGGTGGTGCTGTGGTTAAGGGCTGCTAATTGAAAAGACTGTGGTTGGAACTCACCAGCTACTCCACGGCACAGAGATATGCAGGTTTCCTTACATAGACAGAGCTCAGAGTCTTAGACCATCTCCTGTGGGGAACTTCTACTCTGTCCTACATGGTCTCCAAGAGTTGGAAGCTACTCGATGGCTATAGATTTGGTTTTGGTTTCTTGCCAGGAAAGTTAAAGGACAGATACAGGACACCTTTCTTCTACTACAAACATTGTGAGAATTTTATCCCATGAGAGTAATTTTGGTAGCCAATTTGCTAGGAATATTATCTATAACACAAACAAAAAAGATCTTAATTGTTTTGTGTGTCACAGCTGCCATGCTAAATGCAATGTTGGATATGTTCAGTTAAAGCAAGAGCTGTTATCTAACTGTAGAGGTCACATAGAACAAATAGGATGATTTTCACATTTTATTAACAGAGACATAGTTATATATTTATGATGTTGATAAAAGAAAAATGTATAAGGCACTAAATGCTTACTCTTGTTGGTAATGCAAGTGATGTTTAAAGGTATAAAAGTTATTGCTTACACTATACTATTGAAATAATTCCACTAATTCTAAAATGGACAGTTTTTTGGACATTGTAACATCTCCAAATACAGGATATTTTAACAATCCACAATGTCTTACACTTTAAATTGACAACATTTTCTTTTCTTTCTTGAGGGGATACAAAATAATAACACTTCTTTTTTTTTTCTAAAAAAGATGAGATACCGGATTTGATGAAATGAAATACATTACAGAAATTTAATCTGTTTTCTGAAATTTTTTTTTAACCCTCTGGCTAAATTGATCTGAAAAAGTAAAGTAAAATCAATGCACACACATGGTGATACTACAAATCTCAGGGAGAAAACATAGTTTAGCATAATTAAAATTTTTTAGAATTCCCATTTGTGTTGATTCTACCACGCAGAGAGGTTTGATGACTAGAAAAAAATTGCCTCAGATGAAAGGTGATTTTGATTTTCTTTATTTTAACTTTTACAGACTAGTGATGGTCTCCTCTCTTTCTTCCCCCATTTCTGCACAAGACACGGCATGGACCGTTATCCAACACAACGGTTCTGACTTAGCCAGAGTTCGAAGCGCTCATCCTGACAGCCCTTATGCTGGGTTTTTCGAGTATGGGGCCAGCATGGAGCAACTCCAGGCCACCGTCAACCTGGCAGAACACTGCGAACAGGAGCTCACTTACTACTGCAAGAAGTCCCGGCTGGTAAATAACCAAGGTGAGTCCAGGCCCGTCCACCTGGGGGCACGCAATGCTGGTCTTCATGCAACCAGCTCCCGTGGCTTTTCCTCCTGCCAAGACGGTGGCATGCCAGTCACCACCAAGGGCCCGTGATCCCTGTAGTCTCAACAAGTGAGTAATAGTCTGCAAGCCACAAAGATGCTTTTTGCCTGCAGAAAAGAACACAGTCCATTGACATTGAACTTCATTCAAAGCGTTGATTGCTTTCAGTCTTTTCCTGGCCTGAATCAGATAACTATGCAGTAAAGGGTTACTTCTGATACTTGACAAATGCTCAGTGTTCCTGTCTTAGAAAGGGCAAGTGACACATGCGATTTGTTTTATCCTAGAAAAGAGCTAATAAAAATATGGCTGTTTGCTGAAAGTGACTATTCCGTGTGATGCTATTCCATGGATTGTTGACAGTTAGCCTCTGGGGATAACTGAAAATTAGAATCGGCTGGGAGAAGCATAGTTCATCTAGAAGCTCAAGTCAGAATCAGGACACTATCTTCACTTTCTTTGGTGCTATTTTTAATCACTTGTTTTCTCCTAAAGTTCTGCTTTTAGTCTTCATATTTTCTCTACATTAAAATGCCTCATTCTGTCAGGATATCATTGTTCAGGTCTGGTACCACCTCTAGCACTTTCATCACATAATTCTTGAAATGACTTGAAAGAGCTTTGCGACAGACTCCCAGCTTCCTGTCTCTCTCCCAATCTTCTAACCATTCAGTACAAAACTCACTGAGAGTAATTTTTATAAAATAAAACATTGAAGAGACACCACTGCCATCTGGATGTGTTTCTACTTAAGAAATGCTATAGAAGAACATTGTGCTTGGTGAAGCAGAGGGTCATGGGAAAAGAGGAAGACCCTCAGTGAGATGGAGAAGAGGGCACAGTGGCCACCTTGGTGGGCTCAAGCCCAACAGCGGTTGCAGCATGGCACCTGCTTGCGCAGGGTTTCTGTAGGACATGGAATCACTAGGAGTCGAGGTGACCCCATTGTAACAGCTTTTCTGGAGCTCTTGATGACACACATTGTTAATGTTCTCAGTAATGGGGGGGGCACCCATAGCCTCCTTGTAAGAATTCCTGGCTTTCTACTTCCCAAAACAGCTGCCGAAAACCCGAGGAGCACAGGTCTTTCAGACACAAGTGAAGCCGCCATGAATTGGAGGCGGATTCCTAACAACTGGGGTTTTTGCGTCTTTCTATTGTCTGTGGGTGCAGTGCAGACACATCTGTTTGGAGATTAGAACTTAGTCTGGATCCCTCTCTATTGTTTCAGCCTTCAAATTATTCCCCAAAGCCCCATGTTCTAGCAGCAGGACTGAAGTGTGTTTTCCTTTAGTTAGAAATTGGAAAAGAGTCTTAGGTACCCACACAATAAACAAAACAAAACGAGCAAGCAAAACCCCACTGGCACGGAGCTGATTGTGGGTCATGGCCGGTCCATGTGCCATAGAGCAGAATGGCCCCAGAGGCTTTTCTTGGCTGTAACATTTATGGGCGGTAGCAGTGTATTTGGTAGGGGGTTGGGCTGCTGACTCAAACGTGGTGCCTCACTGGTGGTTCTAATCTACCAGCTGCTCTAAGAAAGATGGGCAGTCTTCTCCCATGCGACTGACTCAAACTAAACATCAAGCTGATAGCTGTGGAATTCGAGCCAGTTTATAACTGCTCCTAGAAATCAGACAGGACGAGGCTGCTCATCTTTCTTCTTCAGAGTGGCTCGTGGATTTGAACGCCCAGAGAGGTAGACGTACCACCTTTGGATTAGGAGCTTAGCCCCTATGCAATCAGAGCTCCTTCTTGTGTGGTTTACAGCTTCCAAAAACCTGCGCGAGGGTCAGCTCTGAGTCGGTTCTGATTCAACAGCAGTGAGCTCGAGTTTTGATTATTTATGGAAGCAACTGGCCAGGTGTTTCTCCAGGGTAACAGTTGGAGGAGTTCAAATCATCAAAGTGAATCTCAAAGCGTTGTGCCCCCCAAGGACTGACCTATACATAAAGAACACTTTATTCAAGATCACCTCCAGTTTTTGCTTTGAAAGGACCTACTGGCAAACTACTGAGAACTAGCCAGTTGATAAGGATGAAAGAAGAAGAATTGATGCCTTTGGGCTGCTGTGTTGGAGAAGAATACGGAAGATCCCATGGACTGCCAGAAGAACAAATAGATATATCTTGGACAAGGAGCAGCCAGAGTGTTCGCTGGAGGTGAGGATGATGACACTTCATCTCTCATACTTTGGGCAGGTTGCTAGGAAAGGCTATTCCCTGGAAAAGGACATTATGGCTGGAAAGGTTGGGGGGTGGTGAAGGAGAGGAAGACCCTCAAACAGATAGATTGACACAGTGACTGCAGCAGTGGTCTCCGGTGTGTCTGAGATTGTGGGGGTGGCCCAGGATAGGACAGGGTTGAGGTCTTTTGCTCATAGGGTCACAATGAGTCATGTTTGACTCGACAGCACCTAACACCACCAATCATGGCTTATTGGGTTAAGTGATTAGATCCTAACGGAAAGGTCGATGGTTTGAACCCATCAGACACTCCCCAGGAGAAGCACTGGTCTCCTGTGAAGGTTGACAGTCTTTAAATCCAGTGGGGCAGTTCTAATCTGACCTGTAGTTTTGTCAGGAGTCAGGACTGACTGGATGATGGTGGGCTTGGTTTCCTTGAGACATCTGGAGTTACAGAGAAAATGACAAGTCCAAAAAGAAATATATTTCCTATATGGCTACCCTCTGTTATATGCATCATATGTAAAATTTTGGAACTGTTGCTATAATATTTGGACTCCAATTTCCAAGGAAGCGTCTCTTCTATTTGCTCCTCTCCCACCTCGTGCAACCAGGCCGTGTTCCCACCTCTGCCTGAGTGCCTTCTCCTCCTCCCCACCTCCACCTCCTCCCCCACCTCCTCCTCCTCCACTTCCTCCTCCCTCACTTCCTCCTCATCTTTCTGTTCTTCTCATCATCCTCTTTCTAATCTTTCTCTTCCTCCTATTTTTTTTTCAAAATTTCCTCATTCCTACCTGTTCCTCTCTATGCCCTGTCCAATCTGTGGCCCATCTCATCTCTTGAAGCCACAACCCCAAGTGCGCATGGCTAGCAGACAGCTGTGGAAAGAACATAGGATTGTGAGATGTGGAAAAATCTAAGATAAATCTGTGTTCTGAGTCACCCGTTGACTTGGTAATGGATTTGGGTAGGTGACAGTGCTCTGATTTCGTTTTCGGTGACACGGGACCATAGTGCTGACCTTCTACGGTGCATGGTAAATAAGTGACACGAGGGGAGTCCTTAACCTCCCGGCTCTTTATTGCATTCTGGTTATAGTTAACCTACCCAACTGGTTGTGCGTTTATAGCTCGATAGTGACCTTGGGGTCTAAAATAAGACACTCAAGGCTGAAATGTTTTTCAAGATGATTATTGGATATAATGTTTGAAATAAGAAGGAAAATGAGTGATTTGGAGTAAAAGAAATAGATATTTAACCAGAGAGGTAAGAAAAAGATTCATTAAATAACTAGTTAGGTAATAACTAACTAAGACTAATTCAGTACCATCAAGTCTGAATTGGTTGACAGCTAGCCCCCCACTGACTGTAAATTTCACTGGGTGAGTTTTGCTCCCCCCACCCCCCGCCTTAGGGCTCTCAGTGGATTAGACCTGTCAGAGGGGCCTTTGGGTTAGGAGCACAACTCTCTACAAATTATGCCACCAGAGCTCCCCAATCACACCAGGAAAACGTCCCCAAGAGCTTAGCAGACCAACAATGCGCAAAATAAATGGGAATATATAGTATGTCCTTCCCCAGAGACTGACCCCTCCTCATCACTCCCCACCAAGATGGGTTGGCTCAGAGTCAGTTGGCATGGTAGGGACTGATCCCTCCTGATGAAGCCTCCACTAGGTGACACACTGAGTGAGTGAGAGAGAGTGTGGGTGGGTGTGGGTGTGGGTGTGAGAGAGAGAAAGAGCGAGAGGAAGAGAGCATGAGCAAGCCTGAGTGGAAGTGAGTACACTTTTGGTCTGAGCGGAGCTTGAGCTTCTACCCAGAGTGCTTTGTGAGCTGGCTTTCTAACCCCCAATCCCAAGCTATAGGCCAAGAGCAAGGAAGGCTCTTAAGGAGGGTTACAGAGATGATTGTACCAGAGTCATCATCCACCCAGAAGCAGAGCTGTTGGGGCTGGATGAGCTGCTTCAGCCTCCACCCCGAGGCCCTCTGGCTTTGGCATCCACTCGTTGTTTTCTTGGCATCCATTCATTTTTTTCTTGTGCACAGCCTCTCTCTCTGTCTCTCTCTACCTCGCTGCCACTGAGTTGGAACCAAAGCATAGCTGATCCTCCAGCAGGTTTCAGAGACTGGACATCACACAGGAGGAGACTGTCTTTCTCCTGAGGAGACACTGGGGGATTCAGGTCTCTAAGGCGGTGTGTGGCCTTTGAGTTGCCGGCTCGGCTCTCTCTGGACTCCACGGCCAGAGCTCCTGGAATACATGTACGATACAGTTTCGTGCTAACAGACGGCGTTCCAAGTTCCACACAAGCTCCCATTTACAGATAGGAGAGGTTGGAACACCAACATATCTTTTTTTTTTCATTGTCTTACTTTTTTCTTTACTGGTTTGCATACAACTATTTTTTATTTTTTGCATAAAACACATTGTGTTTCATGTACGTCGTGTTTTGTACAATCATTCATATATACTGTATTTTATAGACCTGTCTCTACCTGTGACAACCCTGCCTTTTCAAATCCTCATTGAATCTCTCCTATTCCTTCACACACACCCCCAATCTGACCCCTAAACTTGTGCTCTCCTAGTGACTTCTCCTCTTCCTCCTCTTCTTCTTTTTTTTTTGAATGTTACTGAAATTTCCATTTTCTGCTTCTGGACCTGCTCAGTGTAAGTTTCATAGAATGGCTAAAGTGATTAATCCTATCATAAGTGGTCTGAACTCTTTATTTGCATTTTCACACCCCAGAAGGGCAATACACATCATTAGTAAGCTATCCAGTCCCCCTGATGAGGTCACAGATACCTCACATTTAGATAGTCTTACCCGGGCATGTGGTGAAAGTCAAAGGCAATGGCTAGAGAAGCCATATCAGATAACCCATTGTAGTAGAATTATGTTAGCGATTTACCTTGTTTCTTGCAGATTGACACAATGATTTGGATGATGTGTTTCAGCACAGCAGAGGTTGGAGGGGGCTGGGGCACAGGGGCAGATACTCTGCCGTACATAGGTTCACCATGAGTTATCATCCTGACTGATCACTGATTCACCAGCACCTATAACCTACAAGACCAACATTGAACATCTGCCACAAAAGCTCTAACGAAGGTTCTAGGACAGAGGATGACGATAATGGTCAAATCCCCAGATATCTTTCGGAGAACGAGGCTCACAGTCATTGTGTAGGATAACTCAGCGATGGAAAAGAGCCTGGGGGAGGGGAAGGAGTACACACTTTGGAACTGAGGTCACAACCAGAAAGAAATGTGCACTTAAACGGGTTAAGTGTTAGCTTAAGGGAAGAATAGGAGCGTGGCATCAGGCAAATTAGAGTTTCAGTTTCAAGTGATAAGTTTTTTAAATGATACCGTAATTGTGGATGAGTAAAATGGAATGGATATGGAAATAAGTTTTTCACAAGCTGAGGTTCTGTGACTTAGCCAATATCAATGTAAATACTTCAGTCATTTAGGGGTTTTATTCTGTCAGCTGGAATAGTCTATCATTGTCACAGATTTTTTTTTTTTAACTTATTTTCTTCTGTTGTGTTGTGGTTTTTTTTTAATCAGAATCTAATTTCTTCTTGTTTTTCCAGAGTCTTTCTTACATTTTTGTAAAACCTTTACAGCCCTTTTATAAGTCTTGAATAGAGCCAAAGGTATTTTAAACCTTTAAAGCATCTGGTGGTTTCTATTAAATAGAGAAGACAAGAAATTTATTAACAGTTAAGGGCTGGGTATTTACAAATGATATGGATTTTCTCTCACACATGAAAACAGTGTTTTTACAGTCAATTGAAATGTATCTCTTTAAAGTTTCAGGTAGGTTTTCTTTCCATGTCATTAATATAAAACCCAAACCTCTTTGCTTTTGGATGGAGCCCCTCTCTTAGTGGTCCTCCGTTGCGTGTCTGAGGCTGCAGATGGTAATGAGAGGAGACTGCCCATCTTCCTCCCACCACCAGAGACATTCACTCTGTGGGTTGGCAGCACAGCTTACCGGGACGAGGCCATCAGAGCTTCCCAGTTAATAGGTTGTTGTTTTTGTTATGTGCCCTCGAGGTGGAACCAACCCATAGCTGGTCCTCTAGTGGGTTTTCAGAGGCTAGAAGTTGTATGGGAAGAGATTTCCCATCTTTCTCAGAAAGGAGAACAGCAAGTAGATTCGAACTGCCTACTTTTGGCTTGGCGGCCCAACTCCTTACCCACTAGGCCACCGGAGTTCCCTTCAATTAATACAATGGAGATGAAATTCACATTATTGATATGCACTGCATATCTCAAGCCTCTCACCAACTCCTATTTTTCCACAACTTTGGACTGGCAGGTGTGGTAATTCAGAGAGTGAAGCACTAGTGAAGGTCCCATCTGTTACTGAGTTATAACGATTGGTGGCATTTGTAAGCAAGGGAGACATTCTCACAAGTCCCAGAGTCTCAGCTAGGCTGACAGTGACATCTGAAGGGTCTGAGAGTTAACAGAAAAATTATCAGACCCGTTGGAGAGCAAATGGAGATTTCACGTCACGTCCAGTCTTCTCCTGCCTGGATTCTTGAATGACTTGAAGTTCTTCTCTCTGTCTTTTCTGTTTTTCAAAACTGATGGCCTGGGTAGCTTTCTTCCTTTTCTAGAAATCTTCGGCTAATTGCTCTGTTCATTCTTTGCTTTACTTCCCTGCCATCGACTTTATCTTTCACACTGGAAGAGACATCCCAACATCCGTCTAAGAAAAAGAGATGTGTTTGCCTGAAAGCAACTTTGTTTTGGGTGAAATACTTGCTTCAGGCATGGAAATTTCTCCGTGTTCTTCCTGTAGTCTTCAAATTAATAGTCAAGTCATTAAAGAGAAGTATAAAAATACCCATTTCCAAGCACATCTTAAATCATGGTGAGGGAGTGCCCTATCGTGCTCTGTTTAATACACAGCAAGTAGAGTTTCAGGCAATAAATGTATCGAGAAAAATAAGTGACTTCATATAACACTCTGTTACATTTTAATGGCCACTGCAGGATTTCAAATCCATTTTGCTTTGGTGTGCTGGCTACTCTAGTTTATATTTTAATGTCAACTTATTAAAAAAGTATTTTTAAAGAATTTACATCAGTTGGACAACTCTAAGTTTAAAAGGTGGCTACAGATCACTGACAGATGTCAATGGTTATCGTCTTGAATACGGATTATACCTCTACACAAAGAAAATACAGTTCCTCACAACTGGACTAATAAACATTTTAAAAAATGGAGAAAAGATTGGAGTTGCCAAACTTTTCATTTTGCTTGTCTCCACACTCGACAGATACAGAAGAGCGGTCAAGAAATCAAAGGACGGATTGTGTTGAGTAAGTCTTTTTTAAGACGCATTCCAGTGGCCATAATTAAAGCAAAAATGGCCCATCTAAATTCTAAGGTGCGCGTGATCCAAGCCATGGTATTTTCAACTGCTTCACAGGCATGGGCAAGTTTGACAGTGAATAAGGAAGACTAAAAGAAAACAAACAGGTTTGTCCTGGAAAGGGTTAAACTGGGTGGCTTCTTGGAGGCAAGGATTCTGAGGCTCCGTCTAACATACTTTGGACATGTTGTGAGGAGAGACCGGTCCTTGGAGAGGGACATCATGCTTGGTAGGGTGGAGGGACAGCGCAGGAGGGGAAGGCCCTCTATGAGGTGGATTGATTCAGTGACTGGGATAATTGGGATGGGTGTGTCGGAGACGGTGCGATTGGCACAGGACAGAGCAGAGGTTAGGGCTGTTGTACATAGGGTCACTATGAGTCGCAAGCGACTCGACGACACATAACAACAAAGAAGAACTGATGCCTTTGAATCCAGTCGCTGGTGAAGAAAATGGAATGTATCATGGACTGCCAAAGGAACAAACAAGTCTGTATTAGAAGAAGGGCAGCCCGACGACACCCTTACAGGAAAGGATGATGAGACTTCAATTCACATATTTTGGGTGTGTTATTGGGAGGGACCATTATGCGTCATGAACTAAAGGGTCGGTGAAAGAAAGGAACACCTCAGTGAGATGAACTGCTTGCAACAGTGGGCTTAAGGATAGTGGAGATTGTGACGATGGCATAGAATCAGACAGGAAGGGATCAGTTGTACGCAGATCCAGTGTAAGACAGAGTCAACTGGATGGCACCTACCAACAGCAAAAACAATATACTCAGCCATTAAGTACATTGAGATAAATCACTGAGCTTATACAAATTCTGTTTGTTTTTGGTCAAACATTCTTCTAAATGGTAATGCACTGGGTTGTCCATTTGCTGTACTCGTGGTTGCTGTGATGCTGAACACTGTGACACTGATGTGTCAAATGCAAGAATGGTTACCCATCGTGGACAGCGTTTGGTGGAGCTCCTCAATTAAAACAAGCTTGGAAACTACAACTACTTATCAGACATTATTGTGACAGCCATGAACCCGTTGCCCACCCTCCCCACCATGGTCACCCTGACCTCTGGCTCTGAGCCTTGTTCTGACCAAATCACAACGATGCGTATTTGGGGGTGGGTGGGTAAGGGGGTGTGTTGGGGAGGGATGGAACCATCTTTTTCTGTATTTTGTATTGTATGTTTTCTTCAACATGTAGCCATTCAGTATCTTGTCAATATAGTCAGGCGATAGAAAAACAAAACACCAAGCTTGGAAGCAGGGGTGGCATCCACTTCTGAAACAGCTTGCCTCCAGAAAACTTATGAACTTGGAGAGGCGATGAAAGTTATATAAGTGTTCAGGTCTTTTGTTCATATGAGTTCTCTATGACACAATGACATTAAACAACAACAACAATACTTTAATGGCCATTTCCTGATTTCAAGTCTGTTTTTGCTTTGGTGTTCCAATGACCCTGCTCAATAGTTTAGTGCAACCTATTAAAAATTATTGGAAAGTTTTCAGTGTGTTGTAAAGAGGGTAATTATGAGCCAGGTCAGCTTGATGGCACCTAACAACAATAACATAAACGGAACTACTCTCAATAAATTATTTAATGCCATACCTGAATTAAGTAACAGCTGTTGGTTTATGAACGACTAGAAGGAATGTGTATCAATCATCTAAGCCTCAGTATTAATTTTTAAAGTACTTTAGGGAACCATCATCCTGTTACAGTATTTAAAATTTTATAATCAAATCACCTTTTCTCTCTTTTTATTCTTTTCAGTGATTTGGGAAGAAGACGGGGCTGTGTTATTTTTGTTGAAGGTAGATGTCAAATTCCTTGCCTTTGTCTTTCAGATGGAAGCCCTCTCAGCTGGTGGGTTGGAAGAACCAATGAAATGCAAACTTACTGGGGAGGTTCTTTGCCTGATCCAAAAAAATGTACTTGTGGACTGGAAGGGAACTGCATTGATTCTCAATATCACTGCAACTGTGATGCTGACCGGAATGAATGGTGATTTTCTTACTCAAGATAATGTTTTTGCTACTGAAACATGTACAGGGAGGTAGATATAGAATAATCAAAGAGGAAATTACATGAATGTGAACATCTGGTTACCTGAGTTTTGTGTAATGGACTTTAATTAGGTCATGGCTATTTTAATTTTCTAATATGACAAAATAGCAACAATTTTATGTTTCTCTATGCATTAAAGTCGCTATCCTTCAGTTTAAAAATCAAGTGTAGTTGGACATTCCATTACTCACAAAATACAGTCAGAAATTAGCAAGGAGGGGAAAAGCCCTTCACTTCAAAAACTTCCTTATTAAACTTTTAAGCATATAAACTTAATTTCTAACAATTTTAACTTTTCAGCCAGTATATAAACGTGTAGTTTTTTGGTGGTGGGTTTTTTTTTTTTTTAAGGACAAGCATTGCCATAAAACACTAACATTCTTTGGGAAATCTATAAAATCAACCTTTCTCTCTTTTTATTCTTTTTAATGATTTGGGAAAAAAAGAATTATCTCGGGTAGACAGCAGAGGGCTATCAAGCAGATGTCATATTTCTTGCATTTGTCTTCGGATCATATTTTTTTAAATGAATCACTAACATTTTAGGGCTTTGAAAATGGAACTTAAAATAGGCTCCTAAGCATGAAAAGAGTCTTTTAATATATATGCTGTGTCTGAGCCTAGAGTTGGAATGTTGATTTTATTTGTTGTTAGTAAAGTGGAAATGTTTCTACATTTCCAAGTTCATTTTTCAACATACCATATGTCTACTTCACATCAATCAAAAACTAGGCATTCCTAGAAAAATATTGTTTTTAAATGTTAAGTCAATCTGGTTACGCATATGATTGTTTTGGTTACAGAATTCCCGCAAATAGTCCACTGCTAATTGGGCTCAAAATCTGAAATGCAGTTACATTTACTTACTTGGCAAACATTGAGGCTGTGCTATATTAACAAACACCCCCACATTCTCCAAACACACTGGTTGAAACCTCAGTAGAAACATGCTTGTTCTTTGATTGTATGTTTATCAAGAAGAATATTGTATTTCTAACCTACATTCTTTTTTTTTTTTTTCAAAAATCCTATTTTAAGGGACTTTTTCTTTTTGTCACATAAAAATGCCTACAGAGTAGTATTGAGTTTTTAAATGAGTGAAATGTTAATAGAAATGCTTAACAGAAGAAATAAAAAAAGAACTCTGACATATCACCAGTAGTTCTTCAGTGACTCCATAACATGTACTAATTTAAAACAAAAACAACAGTAGCAGTAACTAGTTTTTAAAAAAAATTTTTTTGAATCTTCTCTTGTTAAATTCAGCTATGGGAAGATGTGAAATGTTTGGGTTTTGCGGTTTGTTTTTGTTTTATTTAAACCTCTTGTTTAGAATCAAGAAGACCTCGGTGGAGGGCCCAAGTATTTAAGGCCAGGCCCTTGTCTCCCTTTTGGAGCCTGGGTAAAGCAGCCTGGACTCTGTTAGGTGCTGCTCTTGTTTTGGTTGAGGGTTGTTATGGAAGGTTAGGTTGCTTTTTTAATTCAAGCCTTTTGTTTAGAGTCAACAAGACCTCAGGGAGGGCCCATTGTTTTTATTGTTGATTGCCTTCCAGTCAAGCATGACTCACAGTGACCCTATGAACAAAAGGCCTGAAGCCCCTCTACGACTATCAACATTTATCAAAGTTCATAAGAGTTTCCACAGGCATGTTGTTTAGGAAATAGATGCTTTTCTTTTCTTTTTTTCAGGAACATTCTTCTAAGTCAGACAGCACTCTTCTGTCAGTTTGCTGTACCAAAGTAATCTGGGTTTGCTGTGATGCTGAACCTTGTGCCATTGGGGTGTCAAATGCCCTAAGGGCTGCCCATGGTGGCCAGTATTTGGAGCTCCCAGCTTAAGACAGGTTTGGAAGCAAGCGTGGCATCCTCTTCCTAAACCACATGCCTCTGGAAACTCTCTTAACATGGAGAAAACGATAGTTATAGAAAGGCTTCAGGTCTTTTGTTCATAGGGTCGCTATGAGTTGTGCTCAACTCAACAGCAATCAACAAGAACACAACATGGGCAGATAGCATGCCTTGACCAAACTCCTCCCACAGATGGCAGTTATAACCCAGGGAAATTATTTGTTTTAAAAAAAACCAAGAAACAAAACTTCATGAAATTACATGAAGTGAGCAATGAGGACCTAAACACATACAGGAGTTATTAGATTTGGGTCCCTCAGAACCTTGGAGAGAAGGGAACCCCAGTGGGGAAGAACAGGTTTATGTGGCTTTGCTGGGAGAGGGCTCAGCAGATCTAATGTGCTCATCACAGTTTAACTTCATAGAGAACATCTTTTCCTTCTTCTTTTTTGACTTGTGATATCAGAGAACAGTCTTTGCTGCTGCCAGACTGACTAGAGATTGAGGAGCAAATCCCAGAAACGAGGCAGCCTGGCCCAAGGAGAAAGCTACAGTCAGAAAAATGGAAAACAAACCAAAAAACATCGCAATACCAAAAATCTCAGTAGAAATTTCTAGTAGCCACTAATTATAAACAAATCCACTGCCATCGAGCTGACTCCAGCTCAGCCTATGCTGAGCTTTTCTACTGGGTTTCATAGGCCGTAAATCTTAATGGGAGCAGATTGCCGCCTCTTTTTCCTTCAGAGCAGCTGGTGGGTTCGAACTGCCAGTCTTTCAGTTAGCAGACCAACTTGTAACTCACTACACCACCAAGGCTCCTTGTCACAGGGGAGTTAGATTTTGGAATTTAAGTCCCACTGATTTAGCTAGGGAGCAGTGGCGGTGCAATGGTTAAAACACTGGACTGCTAATGGAAATATTGGTCTTGAGAACCCCACAGATTTTCTGTGGGGAAAAAAGACCTGGGGGTCTGCTTCCATAAACAATGGATAGCCTATAAAAATCCCTGTAGGAGTGTTCTTCCTTCTGAGTCAGATGTGACTCAGGGGCAAACAACAGTAACAATTTAGACATGATTTCTAAACCCTCCATTTTGCATAGAAAACCCAGAATATCCACTTCCTCACAGCAAAGACACTATCTTCAGTGGAGGGGTAACAATGGAAACTAACATCAATCATTATAGTAAACATAAATGAATTAACCATTCCAATTAGAAGGGAGAAAACGGCTAGCTGAATTTAAAAATTACCAGCCTTATTTTTGGCTAGAGAAGACATTCAGATGTTACCGCATTATTCTGGTTTCTACAAGCAATTTATCCTGACTCTTTTGTTGCGTGCAAATTTAGCTCCAACCGCCTTGGTTTTGAACTGCAAGAAGGATCACTGTTTGTTTTATAATTATGTTAATCAGAACGATTGTATGAGGGTTTTGTTTTTTCCCCCTCCTTGTTGTTACAGGACCAATGACACTGGATTCCTTTCTTACAAAGAACATCTGCCAGTGACTAAGATTGTGATTACAGATGCTGGTCGACCACAGTCAGAGGCAGCTTATAAACTGGGCCCCCTGCTCTGCCGGGGAGACAGTAAGTAGGAGCTGTGTGTGCTAAACCTGGGAGAGTAATGTCACCTCCCCATTATGCTTCTGATAATGCTTACGCAAATCACCATTATAAATGCAAGGGGTAATGTCTTCTAATCAGCCAACTAGTATATTTTTCTACAAGGAGCACTAGTGGTGGTGGTTGTTACATGTTCTGCTAACCAAAACGTCTGTAGTCTTATATCCAATCCGGCTGGAATCCACCAACTGCCCTGCAGAAGAAAGACGTGCAGTCCTCTCCCGTCACGATTTACAGCTTCGGAAGTCTGACACAAGATCACTAGGAGTCAGGATGCATTTGATGTCAGGGAGTTGAGTGTTTCATTTTCTTTACTTTACGGGGGAGCTTATAAAGCACAAACCCAGGGATTGAACATGCTAAGCTCTGGTGGCCTGTAGGTAGCGTGTTGCAGTGCCAATCCAAAGGCAGCCAGTTCTGTCCCACTAGCTGCTGCATGGGAGAAAGACTTACAGCTTCAGCAAACCCACTGGAGGGTCTGCCATGAGTCGGTTGGGAACACACACACAAGCTGCCCTACTGAAGAAAGATGTGGCAGAGTGCTTCCAGAAAGCTCCACAGCCTTGGGAGTCTATGGGACACGTCTCTGCTCAGTGCGTGAGGGCTGCAGAGCCCCCACTGAGTCCGCAGTAGTGAGCGTTGTGTGGTTGTGTGTGTACGTTGCAGCAGTCCTAAATCTCTGCCTGACATTACTCACGTGTGAACACCTCACCTCACTGCTAGGTGCACAATTGCTATGAACGTAAAATGAAGAAACAAGCCCACCTCCTCAGACTTCTTGCCAATGACTCGGGACTGACTCCTAGTGGGTTTCCGAGACTGTGAATCACACACGAGGGGATTGCCCATCTTACTTCCGCGAGTCTGCTGGTGAATTCAAACTGCCAGAAGGTGTGACCTTTGGGTTAACATCACAATTCTCTGCCTGAGCTCCCTATAAGAATGTATATGAGTCTACTGTTTGTCGAGGGTGTCTAGAGTGAAATTAGAGCATTAAATGGGATAAAATGTCAGCTTATTCAAATATATTTCAGCCTTTAATCTCATATTTTGTTTCTCTCTCTGTATGTGTTTGTATGTTTTACTTTAAACCAATGAGATTTAATGTTTCCTCTGTTCAGTATATTAATACTCTAAGTCAGAGACTTTAAACCCAAATATAGTTTCAGAGAAAATATATGTTTTCAGTAGGAAATGAAAAGCACATATGTACCCATTCATAGATTTTCTGTGACGCTCACTGCAATCAGAGACATTAGAGGCAGATACATTAATTATTGACGCCCTTGCTTACTTCCAGAACTCGAATAGAAATAGAAGAAATATTTGTTTACATTAAAAGTATACTCTGAAATAAAATTTTCCTCCAGGGACTCAATCAACAGAGAAGGGGATGGTCTGACAGTACCATGGATTTATGGAGCCACATAGCAGAAGTTTCTTAGTTTAAAAGCGTAGATGATACTGGCCTATAAAAATTTATATATTCAGTGTTAAGAAAACGGTGTGCTATTAGACCCACCATCCCTGATCTTTATCGTCGCTTGCTCACGGCTCTGCTGCAAAGACTTACACAATCGCATGAAGATGATACAGGGAGAGCGAATCGTCTCTGCAAAGGGATGAAGTTGTAAACTCGAGATGTATGCAGGGCATTCTGTGTGGCTCCAAGAGAAATGCTTCCTACGCTTGATGTGCGCAACTCCTAAAAAGGTGTAACCAGGGTGAAAGATTAGGGAGCCCTGTTGGCATAGTGTGTAGCATATCAGATTAGTAACCTAAAGGTTGGCGGTTCGAATCTACCAGCCACTTCTTGGGAGAAGGATGGGCATTCTCTTTCTGGAAATATTTACAGCCTCTAAAGCCTACTGGGGCTCTCACATGAGTCAAAAGTGACTCAGTGAATGTGGGTTCGCTTTGATTTTGGGGTGGATGTTTACAGAGACAATTGGCTGTCCGTTTTCCTGTTGATAAATGCTTTGCTTTGCTACACTGGCCGCAGTGTAGCATCTTCCTAGGTCCTCCATGTGTTTTCTGTTTCTGGTTACCCTCCTTCCCTATCCTTTCCTGCTTTCAGAGTTCTGTCTCTGGGCAAATGCTACCATCTTGATCGCAACAGGTTGTTTATTCTAAGGTGTGAGGGCCTCTCTGTGTTACTGCCACTTTCCAGGCCTTTCTGTTGTTTAGCTGAAAGTTGAGTCAAAAGAGTGAGTTCAGTTTTAGACGTGAAGAGCATCTCAGAGCCACAGACTCAGTGGTTCCACTAGTCTCTATCGGACCAGTGAGCTCAGTCTTTATGGTGAATTCTGCGTTTTTCTCCCACTCCATCCAGGGCCTCTGATTCCTTTCAACTATGACTGGAACCTGCCATTCATTTGGGTTGGCTTCCTCAACCCACTGCCCGCAAGCCTTGGTAATGGCGCTGCCGTGACTGAAGTCATCACCAGTTCTCCACTATAGGGTTTCTTTCTCCGAACCTCTTGCTGCGAGCCTTAGCACATATCACCCTTTCCCTCAGAGCAGTAGCTCTTGGTTTGGGTGTGTCCAGTGGTCATTCAGTCATCTATGGAAACATCTTTGCTGTCATGATTGGAAGTATTGGCAGTTAACCTGGTGGCCAATAATGCTGCTGTCTCATAAGGCACATGGCGGCCCTCTACAATAAAGAATGATCTGCTACTTGGTCAATATTACTGAGACAGAAGAACTCTAGCTTACCATATTGAACATTAGAGTTCACGGGAGTGACCATGGGAATACAGAGAATAGGCGACAACATTCACAGGAAGAACTCACAAATATTATCCATAGGGATTTGACCACTGACCCAAGGGCTGAGCCTTCCTGATGGTTCGAGTTTACCAGCGACTCCAAAGGAGAGGACCGGGCAGTTGCCTCGCTTGTGATTCACAGGCTCGGAACCCAGTAGAGAAGGGTTGCCTAGGGGACATAACTCACTGGATGGCAGTGAGTCTGAGGTTTTGTAACCAAAGAACAAAAGAAAACAAGAAACCCAGTCACTCTGCAGTGCATTGTGACATCCACGTCAAATTGCCCTCAACGGATTTTCAGTGACTGTGACCCTTCAGCAAGGGTTGCCACATGGGTCTTTCAAAGCTCCTGTGATTGGTTTGTGGTCATGAATTTAACCTGTTGGTCACCCAAGGGTTCCTTCAAACTATTGGGCTGGATATATTTCCTTTCGTTCTGAATTCCATAGCCAGCATTTCTTTGTGTTCTGTGGCATTAGGTGGTGGTGTGGAGAAGTTTGAAGCCACACTGATTCTCCCACCTTGTCAGTGACATTCTAAGAGCTCTAGCTGTGCCGTGGTTAAAGGAATGGTCAGCATTTCAGATACAGCCACCCCTCCTCGGGAGAAAGAGGAGCTAGTCTACTCCCGTAGAGAGTTCCAGCTTCTGAAAACCTGTGGACGGTCTCTTGCATCTTCTAGGGTCACTGGGAGGTGGAATCACTGCAGGCGTCGAGGTGGGTTTAACATTGAGAGGTTGACGGAAAGATTGGCATTTGACCTCATTAGTTATTGTGAGAAAGAAATGGGTAGTAATCTGTTTCTGGAAAGCTTACAGCTTTGAAAACCCTGCAGGGTTTCAATGGGTCAGAAGCAATTAGATGACAAGTGTGTGCTTTGCTTTTTTCAGTGACTTTCCGAAAACTGACAGGAATAAGGAATTCAGCGAGGGTAGATTTCAGGGCTTGCGTCTATGGTATCCATTAGGTCGAACCAAAATACCGCCGTCAGGTCGGTTCTGACTCATTGTGACCCTATAGAACGTAGTAGGACTGCCAGTAAGGTTCCCACAGCTGTAGACCTTTATAGGAACAGCCTGCCAAGCTTTCTCCCAAGCTTCTGTGTTTGAACTTTTGACCTTCTGATTAGTAGACCCAGAGTAGACGTGATGTGGTAAAATATATACGTATATTTTATAGGCCATGGACATTTTTGTTGCAAGCTTAAGTTTAATTTCTCTTCTCAGATCATTAATCTGACTGATAGAATGATGGCTTGTTGGGAGTTTTTTTTTTTTAAAAAAACACTCTTTGGCATCTGAAGTTCTAGGTTTAATTGAGGTACACCTCTCAAACTTACATAGAGAAGATTGTCTTTAAGTTTCTTATTCTGAAACATACCTGAGCCATTGAAATGCCTTTCTTTATTCTGTCTGTATTGATGAGTACAGCTGTCTGAGAAATCGCAGCTGCCAATGCATGGAATGCATCATCAAAGGTGCGTGGAGCAGTGGCTCTGTCCACGTGGCGTAAAGGAGCCCAGCCCTCTGATGCGGTGGTGTGTATCCCTGTTCCACGGCCCTGGAGATCAAGCTTGTCCCCGGTCTCTGGGCTGGTTAGGGCACTGTCCTGTATAGTCCTTATCTTCTCGGTACCTAGCTGTTGGGGCCTAGTTTCCTGAAAGAAAGAAACAGGTGCATGTAACTGCAGATGCAAAATCCTTTGCTAGAAAGGGATACAGGCTCATTTACCTTCTCTTCTATTTGACGTATTTCTCTGCCAGTTGGCGGTCTACATCTGAAATACGAACATCCACAAATGAAAGTCAATTCTATTTATAAAGTCTTCAAACCCATAGTCCAGTCCGGGAGTCAGCTCTGACTCCTGGTCACCTTCCGTCTAGTTTCCGAAGGTGCCCGTGCTGACAAGGCCTCAGCTTTCTCCCACGGAGCGGCTGGTAGGTCTGAACCATGGCATTTTAGTTAGGAGCCCAACCCATAATCCATAGAGTATAACTTTACAGGCTCCACGATGCTTGGTCATCCTCCAATATGAGAAAATGACTGACGTGTACTTCACTTTTTCTGTTTCATTGTGTTTTGTCTCCATGGGTTCCTTTCTCTAATTTTTGCAGTTTCTCCATCTTTGTATCTCCCCCTCCTTCCACTTTTTCCTGTTTTTCTTTTCTCTCTCCCTTCCCTCCCTTCTTCCCATT